AGAGAGAGAGAGAGGGAGAGGAAGAGGTTTTGCAAAATTCAATAAAGCTAAAAAGAATTCCGACAGTTGCGCCTGCTTATATTAGTTAAAGAAGCTCTAAGCATATTTATGTAACGTAAAATCGGTTATTTAATAAAAGTTGATTGACAATTTGATAAGCGATTTTTACAGTAATAGCAAATTATTCAAATATTTGTTAGCAAAGCAATTGAACATAGAATAATAGTCACATTATCATAGTAGGGTAAAGTAATCCTTGCCAGATGCGAACAATTGACATATGTCATTGGCGTAATTGTCCCATAAACAGACAAATAATATTTTGCATAAAGATTAATCAATGAAAGTGAAACATGTTATAAATAAACACGTTTATGGTAATGTCAAATATGCAAGATGCGCATTTGTCTGTTATACAACAATAACAACAACATTATTTGATTAAGCAAAGTTATGGCCTGGAATTTTTCCGAATTTTTTACACATATCTGATTAGTTTTTTGATAAGATGGAATTAACACCTGTATTACCTGTTACCTATACCTGTATAGTATCAACATTACTAATTAAAAACTTAAAAATTATTTCATATATAATCCTAGAATTAACCTTTTGGTCCTGAATGTACTTCTGTTTCAGCATTTACAATTTCACTCCATGAACTATGTCCATGTCCAGCACGTGAACGAACACGAAATGCATAACGTGTAGCTGGCTCTAAATCATCCAATGTTACGGTATTCCGTCCAATATATGATGCACTTTCAGGTTGTATATCTTTTTCTACGTTCCAATACTGAAAGTAATATTCATATTTTCACGTGAAAAGCTAATCTAATTAGCATTTGGCTAATTAGCATTTGGCTTATTTTTCAATTGCAATAAATTTCAATTTATCAAGAAGATTGTAAGAGAATGAAGTAGTAGGAATTGAAAAATGGTAATGAATATGTAGTAAAATGTATTAATTTGCATATCCATTCTGTATGAATGTGTTGTTATCACTGCGTTGTTTAACAATGTATCCAAAAAATCCTACACTAATGTGAGCTAACAAAGAATGCTTTATCAATATGAGCTAACAAAGATGCTAATTATTGTAATCATAAAGCCAATAAATCTTGCAGATAGCAAGTGGACATTCTTTCCTTCTTTTATTCTCCAAATTAATGTCTTCAAAATTCATTATGTGACAATGTTTTTAGAACTACCTTTATGTGTGATATTTAGTAATTCTTAATAATTATGCTATGTTAATATCGTTTCATTTCATTTATTTAATGATTTAATTATTCATGTTTGAGATGGAAATAAAGAAAAATTTGCAACTCTGTGTCACGTTATGCAAATGACTTTCAAGAATATAAAAAATTTTGGAAAGTATATTTTCATACGGTAATGTTTGATTTATTTCATTTTTTATTTATTTTACTCTTAACTATATCCCTTAGAAAGCATACTTTCACGTAGAAGCCAATTTCGAGTTATGTCATCTGACCTATTTCATATTTCACTTACTTTACTATATATCTGAAAGCTAATCTCGAGTTACGTCATCTGACCTACTTCATATTTCACTTACTTTACTACATATCTGAAAGCTATTCTCGAGTTATGTCATCTGACCTACTTCATATTTCACTTCACTATATATCTGGAAGCCTATCTCGAGTTATGTCATCTGATCTCCTTCATATATCTTATGCAAAAAAAAATTTCATTCCTCCTTTATGATATCTGTACTATTTAGATTTTCTCTATTAATAGCATGAAAGAATTTTTCCAAAGAAATGATATTAATTTCTCAAATTAAATCATTCCTTAATTAACCAAAGAGAAAATTCAACAAAGTATTACCGTATATTCATAACCATCAATTGGTCCATATGTCTCATCACAACGTGGCTTCTCCCATGTAAATTGTATAGTTGACTCTGATACAATATTTGTTCGTACATTTTGTGGGATACCAGCATCACCAACACATGAATTAGATGCTGCTGAGCCAACCGTAATCTTAATTTTACTTATTTAATTAAAATTAAAAAATAAAAAAAAGGAAAAAAATGGAACAAAATTAATTTTATTTTATATCTAATTCCAATAATACAGTTAAACTATACATAATCATTTCATGGTATTATCTAATTAATTTAACAGAAATTAGTCTATGAATGTTAAAATCATCTTTACAATATGTATAAAATTGAAAATAAATTTGCAGAAATTTTAAAATTTCTAATATAATCCTTCACCTCAGCAGTTTTAGCAATCATTTTAAGTTGATCATCTATTGCTAGGACACGAAATGAATACAGTAATCCATCATATATTCCATCAAATTCAATATGATAATCATCAATCTCATCATTAACCATTAAATCATCATATTTCCGCCATCTGAAATATTACAAAGATTTATTATTGTTAAGCAATATAGCTGAAAATTATCGGCTAATAATGTTTATATTTCATTCATAATATCTTGGCGCAAATATACCTTTAAATGCTAAAAATAGCTCAACATTTGACAAGTTAAATAATATTAATTACCTCAAATGATCTAATTTTATTGATCAAAGAAAATTTCATTTTATTTAAATCAATTAGTATTTACCTTAAAAGTAATTAATATTAACAGAAATAAACGAACTCAGTTTCATTCGGTAGACGATATTCAACGATAAATTTGGAAATTGTTTGACCAGGTAATAACGGTTTCCGCCATTGTACCACAAATTGTTGCGCATTCTCTGGTGTAATTACTGGCTTCTCTTTCCAGGCTATACCCGGAGTTTCGGCTGTTTTAGCAGGTAATTTATAAACCAATTTAGGTTCATGATCCACAAAAGCTACTACACCTACGTCATATTGCGTATTCGGTTTTAACCTGACAAAAATATGACTGTTAACCAATGGACTTACACGTGACCGTTCAACCGCTTGACTTTCACCATCCACTTCAACGGCTATCACCTGAAATTTATAAATTTTAGAAATTTCAATAACTTCTATTTCTTTGTTGGATTCATATAACATTCGCATAAAGTTAGATATGACAATGAAAAAGAAAATAGACAAGATGAGGATAATATATTAAATAAAATCACAATGCTACATATATGACATTAAAGTAAGATAAGAATTATATCAGATTGATGAAGATGGTAGAAGATGGTTCTCATGTTATCACAGCTTATCAGTATACCTCATAATGTTGTAATCTCTCATCAACATGTGGTTGCCAACTAATGCGTAATTCTGAATCTGTCCGATAGTCAATTTCTATTTCATCTGATTCATTTGGAGCTGAAACAAACTTCCACTTATGAATTTATTCAAATTCAAATAAAAGATATATGAACATATGAATGATTTATTGATAAATTTACTCCCAACCTTCTCCTTCAGTTTTTGCTACAAGCAATTGATCATTCCATGGGCCTAACATGCGTAAACGATCAGCAGCCCGAACTCGAACCTGATATTCGGTTCCAGGTAAAAGACTGGTAACGCTAACTGATGGATGCGTGACTGTTTGTCGATGAACGTCGAATTTCGTTTCAATGCCAGCTAGCTGGAATAAATTTACCACATTTCCGGTTAATGAATATAAATTATTCTCATATAAAAATCCCAATCTGATAATTAAATAATTAATTTCATTTTTAATAGCTTCTGAAAGAAAAGCACGACAAATGAATTCTAAAAGTAGTGAATTTAACAAGTGAAAAGAAGTATTTTTGGAAAAGCAAAAGAACAAACCTCAATATGGTACTCGCCAACAGAG